GTCTCTATTATAAATAGAAAGAAATTAATTGGCCAACTAATATATATAGAAAAAATTAGCCAGGCATGGTGGCGCATGCCTGTAGTCCCAGCTACTCGGGAGGCTGAGGCAGAAGGATTGCTTAAGCCCAGGAGTTTGAGGCTGCTGTGAGCTAGGCTGACACCACAGCACTCACTCAAGCCTCCGCTACAAAGTGAGACTCTGTCTCAAAAAAAAAAAAAAAAGAAAATAAAAGAAAAAAAGAAATGAAGTACTAATACATAGTGTAACACAAATGGACTTGGAAAACATTCATCTAAGTTAAAGAGGCCAGACTACATATTGTATGATTCCATTTATACGAAATGTCCAGAATAGGCAAATCTATAGAGACAGAAAGTAGATTAGTGGTGGTACATAGGAATGGGGGTATAAGGAGATTGAAGGATGATGGCTAAGGGCTATGGGTTTTATTTTTGGAAGTGATGACAATGTTCTAAAATTGACTGTGGTGTGGTCATATGACTCTGTGAATATACTAAAAGCCACTGAATTTTAAACTTTAAATGAGTGAATTATATTGTATGTAAATCATGTCTCAGTAAAGCTGTTTTTAAAAAGTCTAGTAGATGGCCAGGCGCGGTGGCTCACGCCTGTAATCCCAGCACTCTGGGAGGCCGAGGCGGGTGGATTGCTTGAGGTCAGGAGTTCGAAACCAACCTGAGCAAGAGTGAGACCCCCGTCTCTATGATAAATAGAAAGAAATTAATTGGCCAACTAATATATATATATATAAAAAAAATGAGCCGGGCATGGTGGCACATGCCTGTAGTCCCAGCTACATGGGAGGCTGAGGCAGCAGGATTGCTTGAGCCCAGGAGTTTGAGGTTGCTGTGAGCTAGGCTGACGCCATAGCACTCACTCTAGCCTGGGCAACAAAGCGTGACTCTGTCTCAAAAAAAAAATAAACAAACAAACAAACAAACAAATAAATAAATAATCTAGTAGAGAAGACTGGTTTTTTTTTTTTAGACAGAGTCTTGCTCTGTTGCCTGGGCTAGAGTGCCTTGGCATCAGCCTAGCTCACAGCAACATCAAACTCCTGGGCTCAAGCAATCCTCCTGCCTCAGCCTCCTAAGCAGCCGGGACTATAGGCATGTGCCACGCCACCATGCCTGGCTAAAATTATATAGCCCGGCTATATAATTTTTTCTATATATTTTTAGTTTCCAGCTAATTTCTTTCTATTTTTAGTAGAGATGGGTCTTGCTCTTGCTCAGGATGGTCTTGAATTCAACCTTGAGTGATCCTCCCACTTCGGCTTCCCAGAGTGCTAGGATTACAGGCATGAGCCACTGCGCCGGGATGAAAAGACTGCTTTTTAATTAGTCTTGTGTGCATTTGGTTGTCCAAAGGGAAAACAGTAGTAAAAAATAGTTGTGGGATTTTTAATCCACCACAGACACCTACCCAACACAGAAGGTAACTAACTCACCAGTCAATAACCACCTTTTTTCTTTTTTTAAGGAAAAACTATTGGAAAGGAGTCATAAATATGCACATATCCCATATTCCTATCTTGAGAACCAGCAGGAAGTAGAAAATTAGGTCAACCTAAAATTATGATCCATAGATAAGTCAGCAAGTTCAACAAGCCCCCAAATAAAAAGCATATCAAAGACCCTGCTAGACTAGATAGTCAAATGACACAGAAAGTCAACTCAACATTTTTACTTACCCTTCCTTCGGCGTCAATCATTACTTCTGACATCTTAAACGTGACTTTAGGATTGCTGTGCCTTTAGAACAAAACATAAGGGAATAGTAATGCATATCCAAAATCACTGAAACTAATTTTGCCAGATTAATTCTCTTTTTTTTTTTTTTTTTGAGCAGAGTCTCGCTTTGTTGCCTAGGCTAGAATGAGTGCCATGGCGTCAGCCTAGCTCACAGCAACCTCAAACTCCTGGGCTCAAGCAATCCTGCTGCCTCAGCCTCCCAAGTGCTGGGACTACAGGCATGTGCCACCATGCCCGTAATTTTTTCTATATATATTATTTGGCAATTAATTTCTTTCTATTTATAGTAGAGACGGGGTCTCGCTCTTGCTCAGGCTGGTTTCAACTCCTGACCTCGAGCAATCCGCCCGCCTCGGCCCTCCCGAGAGCTAGTTTGGATACATGCGTGGAAGCCACTGCGCCCGGCTATTCTCTTTACACTTTAGTTAAGCCAGCAATAGTGTACATAGTCATGGGCTAACTGCACTTGAATTTCAGAGCCCCATCTCAAATTCACACTTTTTAATAAAGGTATCAAAAAATAAGAGGCTGAAAAACACAAAGAGTCAGTATTAAATAACAAAGTGAAATTTTGTACATTTTTATAATTGAAATGCTATAAATAGCAAAATGAAAGAAAAATTACTAATTTATTATGGATAATATCACTTAAAAATCTTTACTTACTAAAAAAGACACCTTATTCATTTCTTAAAGTAACTAGTTTCGTGGATATCCCCACTTTTGAAAATAATTAAAAAGCATCAGCCTGTAATTAAAAATCTATTTCAGTGACACTTGATGAACAAACTATCCTTACTAAGGCTGTAAATGACCAATGTTGTCGTTATTTTTGGATGACAGCCAGAAGACTCTTATTTGGAAGGAAGAAATGAATGAATATAAATGCCCGTGGAGTACAGTACCTGTTTTAGGATAACGGAATGAATCTGCCCTCCTTGTTTCCAACATAGGGGATGTAACATGAATAATTTCCACCTCAGATTCATCATTTTCTTCATATAGAATTCTAAGAATTTTACCGCCACTGGGAGCTTAAAAAGAATTTAAACATTGAAAATGTAGAATTATCCCACAGAGTAATCGTAACTGACCATTTCCTCTAGTATTAGATTTTTCACAGTGAAAAATAATTTACGTATAAACTATGCTGCCTTTTATGTATGAAAATATCAGTAGTCTTTGCAGTAGCAAGGTAAATTACTGATAAGCCACTCTTACTGGTTAAAGTTTATTCCTTTTGGAGGAAATACGTATTTATACACATATTTACTTACTTATTATTCATTCATTTATTTATTTATTTGAGACAGGGTCTTGCCCTATCACCTAGGCTGAGTGCAGTGGCCCCAATCACCGCTTACTGTAACCTCAAACTTTGGGCTCAAGTGATCCTCCTGCTTCAGCCTCCCACGTAGCTAGGACAACAAGCGTGTGCTACCATGCTCAGCTAGTTCTTTTATTTATTTGTAGAGATGGGGGTCTCACCATGTTGCTCAAATTTGTCTCAAACTTCTGGCCTCAAGCCATCTTACTGCTTTAGCCTCCCAAAGTGCTGGGATTACAGGCGTGAGCCACGGTGCCTGGCCTGTATATAACCTGGGAAAAAACACTTTTGAAGGACTTTGTCCTTGCATACCATAAAATGTATTCTTTGTTGAAAAAGGAATTATTTAATTACATTTATAATATTTCCTATAAAAAATAAATGCTATTAAAATAGAGTCCAGTTGTTTTGATTGGTTTCTCTATTCATGTCAAAATCTTGTTCCAACAAATACAATTATGGCAAAACATTTTACATCTTAAAATAAAATGTCCAAATTGAAGACATGTCTACAAATAAATGTCTTGCATGGTCATAGAGAAGTACTCAGACTGTTAGCTGCAAACCATTAGTGGGTCATGAAATCTATGAATGGGTTATATGCAGCATTTTAAAAAATTCAACAAACAGAAAAGAATAACAGTATCAGAGTATATTACATATACGGATAAATATTGCTTCTTTAAATTTTTTTCAATTTTATCTATACAATATATGTATAATGTATTAGGGCCACGATTATAAGTAAATTTCTAATTAAATCATGGTCAAAAAGTTTGAAAGCCATGATTTAGAGAGCTATTTTCTCTCTCTTTTTTTTTTTTTTTTGAGCAGAGTCTCGCTTTGTTGCCTAGGCTAGAATGAGTGCCATGGCGTCAGCCTAGCTCACAGCAACCTCAAACTCCTGGGCTCAAGCAATCCTCTGCCTCAGCCTCCCAAGTGGCTGGGACTACAGGCATGTGCCACCATGCCCGTAATTTTTTCTATATATATTATTTGGCAATTAATTTCTTTCTATTTATAGTAGAGACGGGTCTCGCTCTTGCTCAGGCTGGTTTCAAACTCCTGACCTCGAGCAATCCGCCCGCCTCGGCCCTCCCAGAGAGCTAGTTGGATACATGCGTGGAAGCCACTGCCACGCCACCATGCCTGGCTAAAATTATATAGCCCGGCTATATAATTTTTTCTATATATTTTTAGTTGTCCAGCTAATTTCTTTCTATTTTTAGTAGAGATGGGGTCTTGCTCTTGCTCAGGATGGTCTTGAATTCCTAACCTTGAGTGATCCTCCCACTTCTGCTTCCCAGAGTGCTAGTATTACAGGCATGAGCCACTGCGCCGGGATGAAAAGACTGCTTTTTAATTAGTCTTGTGTGCATTTGGTTGTCCAAAGGGAAAACAGTAGTAAAAAATAGTTGTGGGATTTTTAATCCACCACAGACACCTACCCAACACAGAGGGTAACTAACTCACCAGTCAATAACCACCTTTTTTCTTTTTTTAAGGAAAAACTATTGGAAAGGAGTCATAAATATGCACATATCCCATATTTCTATCTTGAGAACCAGCAGGAAGTAGAAAATTAGGTCAACCTAAAATTATGATCCATAGATAAGTCAGCAAGTTCAACAAGCCCCCAAATAAAAAAGCATATCAAAGACCCTGCTAGACTTACTAGATTAGTCAAATGACACAGAAAGTCAACTCAACATTTTATACTTACCCTTCCTTCGGCGTCAATCATTACTTCTGACATCTTAAACGTGACTTTAGGATTTGCTGTGCCTTTAGAACAAAACATAAGGGAATAGTAATGCATATCCAAAATCACTGAAACTAATTTTGCCAGATTAATTCTCTCTCTTTTTTTTTTTTTTTTTGAGAGAGTCTCGCTTTGTTGCCTAGGCTAGAATGAGTGCCATGGCGTCAGCCTAGCTCACCAGCAACCCTCAAACTCCTGGGCTCAAGCAATCCCTGCTGCCTCAGCCTCCCAAGTGGCTGGGACTACAGGCATGTGCCACCATGCCCTCTAATTTTTCTATATATATTATTTGGCCAATTAATTCTTTCTATTTATAGTAGAGACGGGGTCTCGCTCTTGCTCAGGCTGGTTTCAAACTCCTGACCTCGAGCAATCCGCCCGCCTCGGCCTCCCAGAGAGCTAGGATTACAGGCGTGAGCCACCGCGCCCGGCTATTCTCTTTACACTTTAGTTAAGCCAGCAATAGTGTACATAGTCATGGGCTAACTGCACTTGAATTTCAGAGCCCCATCTCAAATTCACACTTTTTAATAAAGGTATCAAAAAATAGAGGCTGAAAAACACAAAGAGTCAGTATTAAAAACAAAGTGAAATTTTGTACATTTTTATAATGAAAGCTATAAATAGCAAAATGAAAGAAAAATTACTAATTTATTATGAATAATTCACTTAAAAATCTTTACTTACTAAAAAAGACCCCTTATTCATTTCTTAAAGTAACTAGTTTCGTGGACATCCCCACTTTTGAAAATATTAAAAAGCATCAGCCTGTAATAAAAATCTATTTCAGTGACACTTGATGAACAAACTATCCTTACTAAGGCTGTAAATGACCAATGTGTCGTTATTTTTGGATGACAGCCAGAAGACTCTTATTTGGAAGGAAGAAATGAATGAATATAAAATGCCCGTGGAGTACAGTACCTGTTTTAGGATAACGGAATGAATCTGCCCTCCTTGTT